CTCTGAACTCTCTCTGGTTCACTCATAATCTCTATTTTCTCTCATTTTTTTTTCTTTTTTCTTATTCTTCTTCTTTGTAGATCTATAAACCGCTGCCGCTCGCCTTAGAGATTTACACCAGCAGCGCCGCCCTCCTCCCTCCTTTTCACACGACCGCCATTATCCACTCACCCAACCAACGAGATCACAGCCGCCGCCTAGGGTTGTGCCGTCAAGACTTGCTACGATGTCAAACCTCCCCAAAAACTCATGTTGTTACCTTCTACACATCACACCACCTCCCTTTCGTTATTTTCGATTTTTACTTTTTTTTTCCTCTCCAGATCTGAAGCACCAGCATCAACGTGACTATAGTCTGGTTCGAATATGACTATTCGAATTTATTTTTCTTTATTTATTTATTTTCCGATTTTTTTTTTCAGATCTGAAAATACAGTTTGAATAGCAGCAGTAACATGACTATAGTAATATTCGAATATGACTATAGTCATATGTATGTATTTTTCAAATATGACTAGTCATATTCGAATATGACTATCGTTGAATATGATTGTAGTCATATTCGAATATGTTCTATCTTCTCGTTTTCAAGTTGACTTCTAATAACGATTCAAATTGTGATTTTTTTTGTGGATGTTGATTGGATTGTTTTCGTAAACAATAGGGAATCTTCGTTGTTTTATATAATTTGGTGAACATGACTTTACCACACTATATAATCAGAATTGTTAAGTTGAAAAAGTGAAAAACTGCAATATAAAAAAAATATGACTACAGTGAATATAGTCACATATAGTCAGTCATATACAACTATAGTCATATTCGGCTTTGTAAATTTGTCGAGAAAAAGAATTTCATTTTTTTGTTTAAATTGTTTTTTATTAAATTAAAAAAATATTAAATAAATAAATAATGGCTAAATAAAATTCGAAAATAATAAAAAATAAGAAATAAAAAAATCCTTTTCGTTTTATTTACTATAATTTTTTTAGAAATTTGGAAGCAGATTTTTAGGAATTAGATTATTGCTATGGAAAGAGAGAAAAAAGGAATAATTGAGAATAGTTATGCTAATTGACATAAGTAGAATTGAGAATAAAATTTCTAGGGAGTTATCACAAAAAAAGATTTAAGAGGTGGACATATCACCATTTCTTATCTATATGAGGAGTTTATTGCTAATGATATATATATATATATATATAGAGAGAGAGAGAGAGAGAGAGAGAGAGAGAGAGAGAGAGAGTGTGTGTGTTATTCAACTTAATGGTATGTATATTTAAGTAAATATTACATTTTAATTTTCTTTGCATTTTTTTATGTTGAAATTAGGGATGACAATGGGTCGGTTCTGGATCGGGTTTGGCTAAACCCGAGACCCGACCCGTGAAGAATATATAAAATCAAGTCCCGCCCCAACTCCGGTTCAGCTTAGACCCAGACCCGTCTCAACCCATACCCGAATTAAACGGTTCTGACCCGCCAGACCCGTTAACATAAAAAAAAAAATTAATTTTCATAATATTTTGCTTATATATTATAAAAAAAATAATCTAAAAATTAAAATATAATATTTTAAAATACTTCTACAAATGATATAAAGTGAATAATAATATTATATAATTAATTATATTTAACTTCTATGATAAGTAAAGTTCAAAGGCATGAAGGCTAGCGGTGGTCGGCATGTGATAGATTTTACTTACGAAAAATGAGATTAAAAAAAATAAAATAGTAAAAAATGAGTAAATGAGAATAGACACGATAAAAATGGAATGTTTGATAAATGAAATCATAAATTAATTTTTATATATAGATTAGTTATAAAATATAATATAGTTATACGGTTCGGTTATGGATCAGTTCCAATAAGACCCATAACCTGACCCAGAACCATCTAATTATAGAAATTTAAACCCATTGCCCCCCAAAATATTTTAACTTACCCAGAACCGCTCCAAACGGGTCGGTTCTGGGTCTAAGACCCAGTGAGCCTATACCATTGCCATCCCTAGTTGAAATATTGAAATTAACGATTTCATAATAGAACAAATTATAAGAAATTTTAAACGTAAAAAAAAAATTGTGTATATGTATATATGAAGACTATTTAATTATTTAGCAAAATTTAAATGCACAGGTGTCTATATGTGTTTGATTAGGAAACTTTAAAGTTGGTATGGACTTAAAATAAAATAACATCAACGTTGGAGACATTAATATTACTAAAATCATTGTCTCAAACAGTAATATTACTGCCCCAAACAGTAAAATTACTGTATCCGACATTAATATTACTGTTTTGGACAATAATATTATGAATATTACTTTCTCGAACAGTAATATAACTAATATTAATGTCCCAAACAGTAATATTTTTGCATGAGACAGTAATATTACGGTCGAAGACTGCAAAATTGCAGGTCAAGACGAAAAAATTAATCAATACAGTAAAATTACTGTCTCAGACAGTTAAATTACTATCTCCAACTATTAAATTACTCTTGGAGACAGTAGTTTAATAGCCAAGACAATAATATTAATTAAAATATTTTTTTTAAGGAAAAAAAAATTTCAGAAAAAATAAAAATAAACGCTGAAGACAGTAATATTAATTAAAATATTTTTTTAAGAAAAAAATATATTAAAAAAAATAACGCCAGAGACCGGCGGTGGCTGGTCAAAATTGGAATAAGAGTCAAAATTAATTAATTCGTGAAATTGGACTAAGTGTAGATCATGAAATTCTAGCTCACTTAGCGTTTCAAGGAATTGAGGGTAATTTTGTATATATAAAAGAGATTTTCTTATTTGCAAATAAGTTTGAATGAGCTGAATTATATGGAAGACAAAAAAAGTTGGATGTCCATTTTTTAATTAAGTGCCATTGTCATGGCCCACTTTGCCGTTTACCCAATAAATAAACGTATATGACAAAATTACCCTAACCTTTAATTTCATCAATTTTGATCACAAAAATCCAATTTTAATTTTTTTCTTTTTTTAAACTCTTTTTTTTTTGCCGACGGTTTTCGGAATTGACTTTTTTTTTCTGTGTATTTTTTTTCCCCATTCGTTTTACTCGTTGACTTTTTTTGATTTTATTTGTCTAATTTTTCCCCACTGGTTTCAGGTGTTGATTTTTTTTTTATTTTTTAATTTAATCTTTTCGTAACTTTTTATCCATATTTTTTACGCCCGCCGCTGAACGTTGTCTGTAATTGTAGTATCATTAACAATAATGATACTGTTGTTAACAATACATTTACATAATTGTACTGTCGTTTACTATCAACCACATCTATATTATTTTTTTTTTACTTTGTTTATTTTGTTTCATTTATTGACAAGTCAACGTAATAATATCACTATCGTTGACGGTAAAATTACTGTAAACGAAATAATATTATTGTCAACCACATCAATAATTTTCTTTTGGCTTTTTGTTTTGTGTTGACCGATTAATGTAATAATATTACTATCTACTATTGTAATATTACTGTAAACACAATAATATTATTGTGGTTGAGGGTATTATTACTGTCGTTATAGCAATAGTATTGTGGTTGACTATAATATTACTGTCAACCACGTCAATATTATTTCTTTTGGCTTTTTATTATGCTTGTTTTTGTTTCATTTGTTGACAACTCAACGTAATAATATCACTGTCGTTGACGATAAAATTACTGTAAACGCAATAACATTAGGGTGCATTTGGATGGAGAGATTTGGAGGAAGGATTTCAAATCTATAATAACAAATCCCTTGGACTTGTTTGGATTGAGGGCTTTGGGAATGAATTTCAAATCCACATCCCTCCTTTTTAGTTGTTTTTTGAGCAATTGAGGTGGATTTCAAATGACTCCAAATTGGAGTCATTTAAATATCTTCCCCAAATCAAACCCCCCTCCAAATCGCTCCATCCAGACACACTTTTATTGTCAACCACATCAATATTAAAAAAAAAAAAATTGCCGTTTTGTTTTGTTTGGTTTGTTGACCGATTAATGTAATAATATTACTGTCTATTATTGTAATATTACTGTAAACACAATAATATTATTGTGGTTGACATTAATATTACTGTCGTTATAGTAATAGTATTGTGGTTGACATTAATATTACTGTCAACCACGTCAATATTAATTCTTTTGGCATTTTATTATGTTTGCCTTTATTGACCGGTCAACATATTTATATTATTCTATTACACAATGATAGGATTTTTTTTGTGTTTAATATTATTGCGTTAGAGAGTAATATAACAATATCACTGTGTTAAACTGTAATATAGTTTAATATTAATGTGTATATATAGTTAATATGATTGCCAACCACAACAATATTATTGTTTAAATGGGCCAAAAATGTTTAAGCAAAAAAAGTTTTCAAAAAAATAAAAAATAAAAAATAAAAAAAATAAGGTTAACGCCGTCGGAGACCGGCGTTGACCGCCGATCAGCGATGGGAGAAAGAAGAAGAAAAAAACCCCGAAAAAAAATCAATGTCGAAGATCGGCGTTGACCGCCGTCAATGCCGGAAACCAGCGGAAAAAGCAGAAAAAAAAAAAAAAAAAGTCAACGTCGTATACCGGTAGTAAGGGCGGCGACGAGCGAAATTATACTCAAAAATGGATTTTGAGTCAAAATTGAATAGTTTGTGAAATTTGGGATCAATTAAGTTAAATTGAATCAAATGATAAAATTGAGCATATTAAAATGTGAAAAGGCATTACTGTAGTCTTTTAGCCACTATGAACAATGTCTTCACTTTTTCGTAAAATAGTTTTTTTCTCCTAAACTCCTCTTTATGAATAAGTAGCCCTAATGGACTTATTTGTAAGGGACAAAAAATGAACTTAATTGAATTTCATTTTTAAGTCTATCTTTTATTTTATTTTATTTATTTTATTAAATTTGTTGACAACGCATACGTTTAAATGAAATAGAAACAATTAGAGGGATTATTATGTTATCTATTAATTAAATGGATAATAAATTGAGTAGCAGTGAAGACAAACGAAGCAAAAAGCGTTATTTAGGTGTGAAAACGAAACAGAACACAAATCATCGTCTTCTTCAATGGAAGACAACAACAAGGCAGCCATGGCGCAGCAGCAGCAGCAGCAGCAGCAGCAACAACAACAGCAATTGATGTTGCTGCAACAGATCCAAAGGCAAAAGGACGCCATTTCACGTTTCCCGTCCAACATCGACGCCCATCTCCGCCCGCAGCAGCAGCACCACCACCCTATGCTTCACCACCGCCCTCCGAACCCTAATTCCGCCGCCCAACAAATCAATCCCAATCAGCTTCACCCTAACCCTAACGCCATCCCCAATAACCCTAACCCTAACCCTAACCCTAGTCAGAATCCCAATTCTTCAATTCCCCCAATTAATAACAACAATAATCAGCAACAACAACAGCAGCAGCAGCAGCACAAGGCATCTCTCCAGCTTGCTTACCAAGATGCGTGGCGTGTTTGCCATCCCGATTTCAAGCACCCTTTCTCTTCCCTTGAAGATGCTTGTGAGAGGTTACCTTTCTTCCCCTTCTATTTTAATTTTAATTTTATTCATTTGGGTTTTTTTTTCTTGGATGATGGAAAATTGAAATATAAATTACCCGATTCTTACCCATATTACCAACATTGAAGAAATATGATCGATTGTTGCGTCCTTTATCCGGCAGAATAACCGGCAAGAAGTCTAAACTGTTTTCACCGTGTATTAGTTTGAATAATCTGCAATTATATGTTTAATACTCTCGGGAGATCTCTACGTAGAGATTGAAAGTTTATTAACAACCTGCTATTTCGCTTTTAGCTTTTAGCTTTTAAGGCCCCGTTTGGTTGCCAAGATAAGATTAAATAATCTAATGAAAACACAATTATTTTATCGAACCCCAGAACGTCAAACAAAAAAGCTCCCTAAGAGGCAAGATAAAGCAAAAAGCAAGATAAGCCACGGTAATATAATATTTGTGGGTCGACCGGGGAAAATTATTGAGGATACCAAACATCAAAGGATGTACAATTATTTAGTTAATAATAGCTAATCTCCCCAACCAACCGAGGCCGAAGGATGCAAGTAGTGTGTGGAATTACTTCGACGGTTCGACCTGTGTCGGCAAAACGTTGATAATATTTATGTCTTCAGAAATAGCAAACATCGTGTGGTAATTATTTAGTTTTCCTGTTTTTCCCCATCTCTTACACATGTGACTTGATCGTTATATTCAGGTTCACGGTTTCATCTGTTAAATTGTAGCTGTTTCTAATAATCGCAGCTTAATATTATCATTTTATTTTTGGTGGCATGTCGTTCATAAACATTAATTCAGCACGCATATTATTCTCCATGTTTTTGTGAACCTGCTTGTTTGTTTCTTCTGTGGACTCAATCCTATGAAAAATCTTAAACTCATCTCATTATTAGAGAATAGGTAAACTTTTTCATTTACGGGGCACAAATTGCAAGTCATCTCTCTCCCCTTGGAAAAAAGAATCATTTTTTTTTGTCTATATTATCTCATTGTTTGAGGCATACAGTCTTTTGGTTTATGTGTTGTAGTTCATCGTTCTCACCTTCTTTTACGGTATGGACTGCTGAGGTAGCAGATAACAGAGTATATTACGAGACTTTTGCTTGTGAATGATGTTGAAGGTAAGATACTTTAAGAGAAGGATTTGGAGTCGTCTCTGTCATAGGAATGTTCAGTGCCCGTGTATCCATTAATCTGAATACTCTATTGGTTATCTTTTTGCATGCTAGTGATCGACTGATTTGTGCACTTGTAATCTTGCTTGTCCGTCTCCTTATTGTGTGCAGCATATTAGAAGCCACAGAAAATACTCAATTTACTTGTCCGAACATTTCTTGATTTTTCTGTGAATTTTATACAGATTCTTCGTAGTTGTATTTTATTCGGCTTTGACCATTAGAATCTTAACACGAAGTAACACTTCCTTTGTTGCTGCATAGGCTCTTACCGTATCATGTAGTGGCGGACTACGAAGCAGAGGAAGATGACAAGATCCTCGATTCAGCCACCACAGGCCAGCAGATCCTCTCCCGCTCCCAACAGTGGGACCACAACATCGCCGCCAAGGTCGCCGAATTCACCGCCACATTCGAGAAACAAGTACTCGCATTCAACATAATCTCCCGTAAACGAGGCCTCGGAGAGTTCCGAACAGAGGAGAAGCTAATGATGGAGCAACTACTCTTGCAAGAAGAAAAGAGATCACTCCTCGAATTAAGGGCCGAAATGGATTCAAGGCAAAAGGCCAGTCGAGAAACACACGAAGCCAACTTAAGAATGGCTGCCATGGTTCAAGAGCAGCAAGCACGTGCGGAAAGTCAAGCCCATGCAGAGATGATGGCGCGGGCCCCGATAAGAGCAAGTGCACTTGGCGGCACTCGAGGCGGCGGTAGGATTGGTGGGCACGATATGGCGGTGGAGCATGAGCATGAGCATGATTTTCAGCAGGATGATATTATAAATGGATGGCAGAGGGATGAAAAAGAGCCGTCTGAGGATTTCTTGAATGACGACGAAACGGATAACGGAGATGCCACTATGCAGAGTGGTTGGTCTGAAGGAGGTGAGTTGGATTTGAATGCTAGATGATTGAATTATTTATTTATTTTTTTCGGTTTTTTCGATAGAGCAAAATATTTCTATGTGCTGTGTTTGGGGAAGAAGATTTGGTAGGGGCATTATTGTAATATTGAGATTTGTATTGTATTGAGTATCTGCTAGTTTTCTGGAGCACTTTTATCTTACTGTATAGTATTCAAATTTAGCTTCTCTTTTCTTTTATCACGTATAGAATCATATTTTGTTACTCACCACCATTGTTAAGCCTCATGGAACCAAACGTCTTAAATTACTTGTGTCAATTACTGCAAGTAGCCTAAACAACTTGTTAAAATTTGTCGTCACGAGTATCGATCCTGTGTTTACGAATAGGAACAAGTAAATATTATCATTATTTCTGCCGAAAATATTTATAAAAAATAAAAAGAAAAAGGAAATTAGAAGTAATTACAAGTACAAATCCCTGGTAAGCTAGTAACCAAGAACATCAATGTAAATCAATACTGTATAACTGGGCCATTTTTTTTTTAAATATTTCGGAATTTTTTTTTTTTTTTTTTTGAAAATTGGGGTGTTTTTTAGATGGATTTCATAAATGCAATAAAGCATCATTTGAAATGACGCTCTATAAGGACCGTTGGATTGAGCTAGGATCAATGACCAGCTCTCCAATTTTGTCCTCTTAATCTGACGGACGGTCCTGGATTGATCAGAAGATTGGACGGCCCTTAAAAGGCGTCTTTTGAACGACGCGCTTTGATCTGTCAGATGGGTTGAATGCATCAGTTCAAATCGCGCGTTTTAGGGACCGTCCGATCCTTCTCGATCCAACGGCTGTGATTTCGGCCGAATATATATATATATATATATATATATATATATATATATATATATATATATATATATATATATATATATATATATATATATATATATATATATATATATATATATATATATATATAAATATATATATATATATATATATATATATA